CAGGCCAGCAACTTCCTCACCAGTTTGGAAACGTTTCTATAGCGCGACTCTGCAGCCGGCGCTGCAGGTATTTTTAGCCCGCGTGACATTTCCTACACCATCTCCTTGCGCCTTTATGGGGCTGGAGCCCGCAGCCCGCAGCCCGCCTTCCCCAGCTCACTAGGTCCCGCAGCCCGGGGCCGGTGACTTCCCCCCGGCACGCGGCACAGGAAGCAGCGCCGCGTGGAGCAGGAACAATCCTGGTGGCAAAGTTGGGGGCAGCAAATAAGCAGCCACCTTGAGCAAACAGGAATGCTGGTTAGATAAAATACTGCTCGCTTCATTGCACAGGTCCAAATCACAGCCTACTGTCTGAGATGGGCTCTTGTCAGGCTTGTCCACAGAAATGCCCTATTCCCAGCGCACTGTGCAAAAGGACAGAACGTTTTTTATATGCTCATTTGCTTTTAAAACCAGACTGAAAGGAGCATACTGTCTGGGAGTTTGAATCCAAACTAAGCACATGTAATAATTTGCGAGTAAAACCGGACTTTGCAGATACTTGTTTTAATTTTTATGCAGATAACCAACTTTTACAACCCTTTGAGAGCAGCAGGAGACTTTACTGAGGCACAGACCGTCTTATTAGTGATAGATTAAGGTAACGGCAATAGGAAGAGCTCATATAATAAAACCAAGAGCCTGTATTCAAACAACAGTGATAAATATATATTTGGCTGATTTTAATACAAGTTCTTGGTCTTGCAGTCTTTTCCTGTATATGCATCCCGTTGGGCCACTGACCTATTTCTGAAGTTCCTTATTTGTCAATGAAAAAATGCCTTTTAAATTCAACTGTCCTTCTCAAAACATGGATGCTCAAAGCACCGTCAGAGCAAAATGAAGCTAATGGAGTTCTAAAATGCAGCCTGCAGTTGTTCTCAACTCAGATCCCCAGAGAGCACCTTTTACTGACTACAGGTCTCATCATGCCCTACTCTGTCTCGATGAGAGTTAGATACAGAGAATGGACAACCCTTAATGGACAGAGTTACATTCTGTACAATACACCCACAACAACAACAACAGTGATACTGATGTGCCTAGGACCATCCAGCAGCCAGACGTGAGCCAAGCACACTGTAAATGGTGACGAGAGGCACATACGCTTGGCAATGTCAGCAGTGGAGTCCAATATAACATTGGGAAAGAAATACTTGCTCAGCCCTAGGTTTGGCATGAAGCACAGCAGTACAGGAATATGGAATAGTTACATGGGTTGTACCCTTGCTATGCCTCCTCTGCAGATAATTTTGGTCTCCCAGTGTGGCACCCAGCTTTCCAGTAATAATTATTGTCTTAGTGGCAAAAATAGAAAACTGTGTTAAGCCTTTGCACTTTTGTGCTCCAATTGAAAATGACTGCCATCTGATCTTTTGTGCAGGATAAATAAGTTTTCAGGTTTCTGGCTAGTTGATAACACAGCCCTTCAATAGGCAAGATGGAATTTGAGTAATATTTTAGCTTAAAAACAATTATTAGAGTGGACAGATATTTCAGAAAGTAACATACACAGCAGCTTAACACATCTACTGCATCTCCTTGTAGGCTCTTGCGGCCTAATCTTTAAATAGTTGTGACCTTCACATATGAGAGTATCTTAAAGCCATGCCAAGTTTTTGTCATGAGTATAATTCATCAAATCCATGTAAAGGACACCTCAGTTTTTAAAGCAGGGTTCAGATACTAGACGGACAGATAGATAGGAGGGAAGGAATCATGCTTTCTTGCTCATCTCAGCATTAGATAAGACATGAAATTGTGCAGTATCTTTGGAATTGTTTAGGATTTTTCTATTTGGCTGCACTTAATTGTAAAATCTGGATTAATTTCAAACACCTTCATTCCAGTATCTGTAGTTGTACTGAGGCTCCACAAACAGGCCCTTTTTGAATTCTTGCGAGTGAGTCATATCTACTACTTTTGCTGTTAGCAGGTCATGTGTAGGTCTGCTGACAAAATTATTTTTTTCTTAATCCATCACCTAGTGCACACACGATTTTAAACACTGAGACACCAGTGAAAATGCAACAGTTTCAAAAACAATTCCCCGAAGTTTTATCTATGAGTGAAGTGTGTCCAGCTACCTCTTTCCCTTACAAGTGTGATTATCTCAGGGTGGGTTTATAAAACATTCCTTTGAAGATGACAATCAAAGTCCATTTTTATTCTTTTGTGGATGCAGAACATATCTTTTCCTTAGGAGAAATGAGATTGCCACCTTCATCATTTAATGACATTTAAACTGAAAAGCACTAAGGTTACTATGCAATGATCCACCTCCTTTGCATCTTAACCCTGGGGTGGCTTAGTTTCTATTTTCTGTTCAAAGTTCTGCTCAGCCCCACTCCACGCCTCGCTCTCTTCCACCACCTCCCTATCTTATAAGAGCAACACAGTATAACACTTCTTCCCATGTCTGGCTGCTTTTAAACTTGGCCCACGCTGGGTGCAGCGCTTGAAGTGAGCTTTACAAAATTATTTTAAAGTGAGCTGGGGCGGTTGCCACAGCAACCCACCCTGAGAGAAATCGAGGCTATAGATTAATCTACCCCACAAGATTATTCAACGGTACTGTATTTGTTCTTCATTCATTCAGAATATTCCCTCAATCCATATGATTTCATAAGGAGCAAAAGGTATAAATTCAGATAATTTCAAAGATAATAGAATATATATTCCAGGAACACAATTTAAATGCTTTGTAAACCATTGCAGAGAGCTGAAATGTACGTGATTCCTTGCAAAATCATTTAATTGTAAAAAAATATTTGCAAGGTAGGCACAGCTGACACATGAACTTTAAATAAAATGGCATGCCATTACTGAAATGGTGCTATACACATCAAGCAATGATTACAGAAAGCCTTTGTCACAGGTGTACCTGTAAGTACATAATACAGCAGAGTTTGCTCTCCAGGCTTTGCTTTTAGCATTAAATCTGAAAACAATAAATAGTACTTTGTAATATTAAATGCAATAAATATTAAACACTCACCACATACACCCTCTTTATTGTCAAAATCATCCGCCTCCAATGCTTTACTTAATCTTTTCCATAGTAGTTACTTCACAGTTTACAAGTCTTGTTCGGCACCTTGGATGTTTAAAAGCACAAAAGTAGTATATTATTTAAATGCAAAACTATAGTACTTAAATATCTTTAAGGAGATTTATGGAACAATTTCTATAAAAAGAATATGCATCCTTACTGGTGCGCACTTAGGCCTAAAAAGAATACCACTTGTAAGTAGCTTTAAGTTTTCAGAACTGTAAAAAACTCCATCTAAATTCTACTTTAGGGATGCTACACTATCAATAAAAATATAAAATTATTGATCTTGGACTGTACTAACCTTCCAATAGGTACTTCGAAAATTACTTCTGCTTTTATGGGCTTTTTGAAAAACGTACTGGTGCATTGTTTAACAAATGTCAATGTGAAAGACTGTGCCAAATGCGAAAATGTTAAAGCTTGGAATATTAATTTCTTCCTTCTTTTAAAAAGTATTGTATGCTCTGCAGCTACCCAGGGAAGCTTCCCCTCGGGCCTGCCTCTAGGAATGCGACACTGAGCATCATCAGGAGAATTTTTCGAACTGAAATGCCCCTTTTCCTCCACACCAGTTTTTGTGAAAAGGGTGTCCTCGCGCAAATCCAAACAACGCTGTAATGTAACGGTTGGCCGCACTGATGAGCTGTGGCTTAGAGGAGTGACCAGTGTAGTTTCTGCCTTGACCCCTTGTAGCCGGAAAATATTTTGGCCCTGTGCTGGTCTCTCCACTTTCTAAACTTTTGCATTCATTTTCTTAAAACGGCTCGAGCATTCCCGCTCAGCGCAACTGGGGAACGGGCGGTGAGGCGGGAGGACAGCAGCCAGCACTGCGCGTAAGCGCGGCAGAGG